ACACCAGGAACACAAGGACACGTAAAGATGATAGGCCAGAGACTAAGACAGCTGGGTGTGCTGCCACACATCTTTAATCTCAGCACCCATACAGGAAGAAGCAGGCAACATGTCTGTGAATTAGAGACCAGTCTGCTCTACATACTAAATTCTAGGACAGCCCTGTCTTGAAACAAAATAGCAAACTTTTATAACAGAAGCATACTTGAAACTTGAAAACCCTCTGGATGAATTTAGCTTATTATAAATAGCAGCATCAGTAATCTTTAAAGTGAAGACAACAGGAACTACACAAACTGAAAACAAAAATAAAATGAGAGATTCAGTGCCCTATGAAAAATTCAGCTGTCTAGCAACATGTATAAAAGTGAGACTTGCAGAGAAAGCACAGCACAGTACCAAAACAGAATAGAAAAAATAATGGCTAGATACTTGCAGGTGTGATAAACATTATCAATACAGGTTCATAATAGTAGAATCAATCACAAGAAAGTTAAACACAAAGAAAGCTGAAAAGTAAAAGTTAAAAGTTGTTGAAAATCAAATAGAAGAGAAATAATATATAAAGAAGAACAAAGAAACGCATCTTTCTCATCTGAACAATTATAAGCAGGATGTGGTGACACCCTGTTACCAGAATTCAGGGAACAAAAGGCAGTAAGACCACATCAAATTCAAGATCAGGCTACAGAGCAAGACCCTGTCTGAACAAAACAAAAAGAGTAATATCTTTAAGAACTGAAAGTAGGCCAGGCACATGTCTTTAATTCCAGAACTCAGGAGGCAGAGGCAGGTGGACTCTGTGAGTTAAGAGGCCAGCCTAGTCTAACACAGCAAGTACCAAAACAGACAGGATTATGTAGAAAGACCCTGTCGATAGATAGATAGATAGATAGATAGATAGATAGATAGATAGATAGATAGATAGATACACAGACAGACACAGGAAGGAAGGAAGGAAGGAAGGAAGGGAGGGAGGGAGGGAGGGAGGGAGAAGTATCAATTTAAAATTCTATACTCAGGTATCCAGGGACTAAGGAAATAGCTCATTGGTTAAAAGTGCTGGCTGTTCTTACAGAGGACCTGGGTTTGATTCCCAGCACCTTCATGGCAGCTCACAATCATCTGTGATTCCAGTTCCTGGGAGATCTGATGCCTTCTTTTGGCCTTGTGATATACAAACATACAGGCAGGTAAAACTTCTATATGGATAGGTTAGGATAGGTTAGGTTAGGTTAGGTTAGGTTAGGTTAGGATAGGATACGATGGAGGATAGCATATAGGATAGGATATAGCATATAGGATATAGGATATAGGATATAGCATATAGGATAGGATATAGGATATAGGATATAGGATATAGGATATAGGATATAGGATTCTATATCCAGTGACAACACCCTTCAAATAAGAGTCTGGACGTTGGGGGCTGGAGAGATGGCTCAGCGGTTAAGAACACTGACTGCTCTTCCAGAGGTCCAGAGCTCAAATCTCAGCAACTACATGGTGGCTCACAACCACCCATTGAGATTCAATGCCCTCTTCTGGTGTGTCTGAAGACAGCTATAGTGTACTCATAAATAAAAAAAAAAAAAAAGAGTCTGAACGTTTCCTACAAAGCTAAACATATTCCTACCATGTAATTCAGCAATTACGTTCCAGGTGTTTACCCAAAGAAACCAAACCTGGAAGCAAAGTGAGATGTCCTTCAGCAGTAACTGGGTAAACAGTGGTATAATCACACAATGGATTATTATTCAATACAAAAGTGAAACAAAAACCAAATTATAGGAAAAAACAGAAACCCTAAATGTATATAACTCTCTGGGACTATGTTTGTATACACTGTAGAGGAATATGAGAACAGTGAGAATATGAGAACAAATGAGAATCAATGCCTCTCTCTCTCCCCCCTCCTCTCTTCTGCCTCCCCCCCACCCCGTTTGATCTGCTCAATTTTGCTGTACCAAAACAGAACTAGTTTCTTGTGTTTCTTTTGTTTTGTTTTGTTTTGTTTTGAATGACAGGGCTTCTCTGTGTAGTCCTGACTGTCCTGGAACTCACTCTGTAGACTAGGCTGACCTCAAATTCATAAACTTAAAGAGATCCATCTGTCTCTGCCTCCCAAGTACTGAAATTAAAGGCACCACACTTGGTCTACTCAGTATTTTTTAAAGAGATAAGATTTTTTTTTCTTTTCCCAGACAAAGCAAGTTCAAAAACTTCATCACCAGTAGATCTGAAATACTAAAGAAAATTCTTTAAGATAAAAGAAAATGATTCCAACGGAGTGGTGGTAGCACCCAAGTAGCCAGTCTGGTCTACAGAGTGAGTTCCAGACAGCCAGGACTACACAGAGAAACCCTGTCTCAAAACCAAACAAACAAACCACAGATGGAAACAAAATTCTACACCAAAGAATGAATTATTGGAAATGCTAAACAGTAGATAAAAACAGGATCTCCCTAAATAAAGGTTTAATTTTTTTTAACATTTTAAATCAACCTTTTTTGTGGGTGTTACTGTGGATATGGGTGAAAAGAATCAAGTCTACATGCGTACATGCTAAATACCTGTACCACTAACGATGTACACCTCTTCTAGTCCAAACCTGAATCCTAACCCCAGCAATATCCAACCATTAACAGTTTAAAATGAAATGTAGTGATGTATTGTGGGGTTCACTAACATGAGAAAATAAATGAAAGAGCATAACAAAGTTACACTCCCAGAAAAAATAAGTTATATTATAATTATCACAGGAGTGTGGTATAGTGAAAGACAGAAGCTGGTTGTGAGATAATACGCATATTATAAATCTTAAAACAGTAGTTCTCAAAGTTTTAGATCTCAGGATCCCTTTGTATTCTTAAAATATCAAAGCTCTCCCAAAGCTTTGGTTCATATGGAAGATACCTAACAAATGAGAAGAAATTAAGTTCAGTCTGGGCTAGCAACATATGCTCGTATGTAGAAGGCAGAAGCATGGAGATCACTGTCTATGAAGAGTTCCAGGCTAGCCAGGGTCACAACATGAGATGCCTGTCAAACACACCGTGCAGGAATCAAGACATTTCCTAGAAGAGTTAACGACACATAAAAGGAATGGATCCACTCCTACGTGCCTTTCATTCTTGTTCTTTTTTTTTCTTCCCTTTTCTACCTGTCCTTAATAAGTTAAGTGCCTCCGTTTGTGTCCTTAAGAAAAACCAAAATCCTCAGGTTTTAAAACACACAGAATGACTTCTGATTTAAGTAATTCATCCTTGGAGATAATTTAATCTTGCTGATAAATAAGGGTAATATAAACAGGCAAGTAATTGGTTTATATTTAAACCACCTCTAACCTCAGTAACTATCTCAGAGGAAGAAATGAAGAGTAAAATTTTTCCTGTTTTCTTTTTTCTAGCATTCCCATGGTATCTTCTGCCTTAAAGCTTAAATAAACAAGAAAGCTTTATTCTCTCGAGAATCAGAAGGTGCCTCTTCCCTTGTTTACTATTATCATCATCTTTTAACTTTTGTGGGCACACATGGCACAGCGTGCACATGAAAGCCAGAGACAACTCCTGATTGCTAGTTCTCTCCTTCCAGCCTGGGTTCCAGGGATCAAACAGACCATCTACCTCAGAAGGAAGTGCCTTAACCTGCTGAGCCACATGACTAGCACTTGTGGTTCATTTTTTGTTTTCATCCAGTCAGGATTTTGCTGTATATTTAAGGCTGGCCTCAAATTTGTAATTCTCCTACTTAATAATGACAGGTGTGAACCATCACCAGTTCTGACTCCTTTGGTGAAAATCAATTATCCATTTATTATTTACCTGTGTGTATGATGTGTTTAAATATGGGCATACCGCATATGCAATAGTTTGATTTTTCTTTCTTGAGGCCATTTTTTTTCTTGAGGCAGGGTCTCTGTCATTATTTCTTGCCAGTATGCTGTGTACTCTAGCCTAGCTGGCCCAGGAGCTTCCAAGCAACTCTCTCCTGTTTTGTGTCTCCCCATCCCATACTGTAGGAGTGCTGAGGGACCTGAACCTAGGTTACCAGGCTTGTGCAGCAAGTACTTTATCCACTATGACATCTCCATGACTCCTTTGATGAGTTTTAACATAACCAGTTTAAATTCATTCCAGATGTAACGAATCTCAGAACTACAATGTCCACTATAGTATTCAATTTAAAAAGGCAAAACAAGCAGAATATTGGCACATGCTTGTAATCCCAACACTGGAACAGCAAGATCACTAGGTGGAGGATAGCCTGGGCTAGACAGTTTATGCTTCAAAAAATAAAGTACAAGTAAAAAGAAATCATGTATATAACTCACTCTCAAGAAGGAAAAAATTAGCCGGGCAGTGGTGGTGCACACCTTTAATCTCAGCACTTGGGAGGCAGAGGCAGGCGGATTTCTGAGTTCGGGGCCAGCCTGGACTACAGAGTGAGTTCCAGGACAGCCAGGGCTACACAGAGAAACCCATCTCGAAAAACCAAAAAAAGAAGAAGAAAAAACTAATATACTAAAAAGTTATAAAGAAGTATTGGAGCATAATTGCCATGGGGCCTCTCATTTTCTCCTAAATATATTCCTTAAGTACCGTACGAAGTCAATATGCACCTGCATCCTTCAGCGTCTAAAATGGTCTTCCTTTCTCTTTGACTTCAATCTCTCCTCTGATAAAGTAGAACTTTGACTTTTTTTTTTTTTAATTTCATATGCACTGGAATTTTGCCTGCATGTATGTCTGTGTAAGGGTATCAGATCACCTGAAATTGGAGTTACAGACAGTTGTAACCTGCTATGTAGGGCTGGAAATTGAACCCTGGTCCTCTGGTAGAAAAGCCAGCGCTCTTAACTGCTGAGCCATCTCTCTAGCCCTGAACTTTGACATATTTTTCCAAAGAGAAAAAAAAAACAGAACTATATGGTTACTAACCTCACTGAATGAAAGGACACAGATGTTCAAATGATGAGGACACATAAAAGCTACACTCACCTTCATGGGGTTTTCATCATACGTTGGGGTTCCCAGGTCCATCTCAGCTTCATGCTCAAGGCTGGCATCATCTCCTGGGCTTTCCCAAGTAGGAGGATCCCACTGAGTCTGTCTAGAGGAAGGTAAGAACAGCCAAGCTGTCATGGGTTAAAAACAAACAAACAAAAACAAACAAAAAAAAACAGACAGCCTTGGCATAGAGTTTAAAAAACTTAATATGCAACAGGACACTGATAAGTCAGAACTGTAAAACAGAGATCTATCCTGATAGCTTCTCCTTGGCAATGGCACTAGCCTAAAGATATATTTTTAACATTATTTGATCTTATCAAACTTTTGAAGGCACTATGTTGTAATGCCAGCCAGGTACTGACAACAGTAAGAAAAACAACATCTAGTCTGCTTTTCAAATGGCTCAGTGTATTAGATTTATCCTGGGTTTTTAAAAGTACGCAAAGCAGACAAAGAGATCAGTAACCTACTATACCTACTGTGTAACTGAAGCAAAAAAAAAAAAAAAAAGAAAAAAAAGAAAAAAATCAAGACAGAGGCTCACTATATAGCCCTGGCTCTCCTGAAACTCTCTATTTAGACAACCTGCCTCTACTTACTTTCCAATGCTGGGATTAAAGGCATATGGCTTGATTTTTAAAAAAATAAAAAATAAAGCTAGAATTGTAGTAAGGGTCCAAAGCCAGCCATCACAGAGAATCATAAAGGTGATAGTTAAAATAGTAACACTGAAGCTGTGGGGATGGCTTGGTGGGTAAAATCACTTTTCAAACAAGCCTAATTAATGACCTGAATTCAGTCCTTGGAACTCATATAAGAAAAACCAAACGGCCGGGCAGTGGTGGCACACACCTTTAATCCCAGCACTTGGGAGGCAGAGGCAGGCAGACTTCTGAGTTCGGGGCCAGCCTGGTCTACAGAGTGAGTTCCAGGACAGCCAGGGCTACACAGAGAAACCCTGTCTCGAAAAATCTTAAAAAAACAAAACAAAACAAAACAAACAAAACAAAACAGGTGCAGGGCTATAGAGATGGCTCAGTGATTGAGAGCACTGATTGTTCTTCCAGAGGCTCCAGGTTCAATTCCTAGCAACTGCATGGCAACTCACAACTGTTTGTAACTCCAGTTTCAGGGGATCTGACACCCTCACACAGATTAAAACACCAATGCACATAAAATAAAATTAAAAAATAAACTTCTCTAAGTTGTCCTCTGACATCTACATGAAGGACAGAGGGCATGTTCACATGCACATATACACTCTAAATAAATACAATAGGGTAGATATACCACAGCATACTTTTAAAGGGCAAAGTCTATCTAAAGTCTGGCACGCACTTTCAGATGTGACTCTAAAGCTGGGCATGGATAGTAGTGCACATTGCCAGTCCCAGCACTTGAGAGACAAAGAAGGGAGGACCAAGCATTCAAAGTCAGCCTGTGCTACATGAATCCATCTCAAAAAGGAACAAAGGGCACACAGAGGGAGATGGCTCAGCTGGCAAAGTATTCAGTGCATAAGCAGAAGAACTTGAGTTCAATCCCATGAAGCCTCATAAAAAACTGGTCTGTGACATGCCTGTAATACCAGCACTGGGGGAAAAAAGGTAGACGCATATCTAGAGCTTGATAACTCCCAAGATAGCCTAATCAGCAAGCTTCAAATGCAAACAAAACACACTTTGGATGATTCTCAAGGAACATCACCACGGACTGAACTTCCTTGAGTGGCTGTACTTGTATATGCCCCTCATACACATGTGGCCCTTACTTCCTTACCCACATGGAATTCTAGAAATTCAGCAATCCAACTTTAGGTTAGTGAGAAGCCAATAAATATCAAACTTCATGTTGGCAGCATAACTGACCAAGTAAAATCAGATGTGGGATACCCAGTGAAACTCTTACCTCGTGATTACATGGTAGTAATAGATCTTCCCTTCAGGATCTCGGGCTGTCTTCCAGTTGGGAGGTAAAACAATTGTTTTTGGTTTTGGAGGGGATGGAGGTGGCAGATCCAGTAGATTATTTGTTACAACCATTTCAGGCTAAAAAAGTATATAAATATATTTTTGATCAGTGATACTTCTTTCCATACGTAATAGGGTAAAATGCCTACTTAAGCAATAAAAAAAAAAGTATACATTTAGTTTCCCTCAAAAAGGATAAAGGAAAGGTAAACTATGGGAAACGGTTAACAAGACAATACATATCAAGATCCTTAGGGACCTCCTCAAGCCATGACTGAGGGTGTCACATTATAAAAATATTTAACAACTCATTTAGATCAACATTTACCAGCTTTAATACAAACAAACCAGTTAGCAATGACAAAAAAAGAGCCAATGCTAATGGCAGATAAAACTCCAAAGTAGAGCTCAGTGGCTAAGAGCACTTGTTTTTCTTGCAGAACAATCGGGTTTGACGCCCAGTCCCCACACAGTAGTTAATAACTTCACAGTTCCAAGGATTCGATGCCATTTTGTAATCTATGTGGTACTCGACACAGATGTACATAAACTAACCTGGAAAGCAGGATGGTAACATTTTATCTATTGTACTTTTTTCTGTACTGCTTAAACAGTTATGAAATTTCAGCTATTTCTCTCTCTCTCTCTCTCTCTCTCTCTCTCTCTCTCTCTCTCTCTCTCTTTTTTTTGGTTTTTCGAGACAGGGTTTCTCTGTGTAGCCAGTGCCCGGCTTTTTTTAAAAAAAAAAAAAAAAAAAAACTACACTTTTAACAACTGAGTTATCTCCCCAGGAATGCTACACTTTCAAAAACCTAACAATCACTATAACTGACCAAAGTGTTAACCCAAAATTCATGTGTTGAAACCCCAATGCCAATGTGACCTTAGTGGGAGACAGAGAGCCTTTACAAAGATAATTAAGGTTCAATGAGGTCAAAAGCACCCATGAAAAAGCAACATGACAAGAGGAAGAGTGTGTGAGGACACTTCTGAAGGCCAAGCAGAGAGGCTCTCAGGAAAATTTAATTGTGCTGTCACCTTTATCTTAGATATTCAGTCTCCAGAACTATTAAAAATGAATTTGTGCTGTTTAAGGCACAGTCTATAATATTTTTGTAATAGCAGCCCTAATAAATTAATATAATCACCATCTTAATATATAGACCTTTCAATGTTCCTTTTATGTAAACCAATTAATGAAGAGTAACTTTCAGCTTTATCTTTGCATCAAATATTAAGGAAAGAAAAGATCTGAGCCTCCAGATCCACATGAGATGCTTTCACTTTTAAACCATCACGTATCTTTGAACATTCCTGGCTTGTACGTTCTTTAGTATATCCCTACACAATTTAGGGTAGCCGGACGTTTAGAACCAGCTGAAGCTGACTCATGTTCTTAATTACCATAGGTCTATGCAGTCAAGCAAAATCACCTTTCCCCACCATGCTTCTATGTCCCTTAAGATTACTTCAAATTATTAGTAATTATTAAATTACTAATCCTTCCCCTATCTAGAAACAGTTCTATCCTTCCTCAAATCAAATCCTTAAATATCTTTTTAAAAATTTCTTTTTGAGACAAGGTTTTACCTAGAAGTTGCTACATACCTCAGACAGGCTTAAAATTTATGTTAACTCTCCTGTCTTGCAAGTGCTAGACTATAGGTACAAGCCACCTCACCAAGTTTACCACAGTGTTTTTTTGTTTTTGTTTTAAAATAAAGCTAAAGTTTGACTATTCTGAATAGGATTCAAAGCATGGTGATTTGATATGAATGGTCCCCACAGGCTCATATAATTTAGAAGGCACTGGGAGTGGGCTCTGAGGTTTCAAAAGCCCATACCTAACCCAGTGTTTCCCTCTCAGCCTGTGGATCAACATGTAGCTTTTAGCTACTGTTCTAGCACAATGCATGCTGCAATGTCCTCTTGCCATCACGATAATGGACTGACTAAACCCCTGAAACTATAAGGCACCCCTGAATAAAGTGCTTTCTTCTTCATAGCAATAAAACACTGACTGAGATAGAAGTTGGTACCAAGGAGCAGGATATTGCTATGATTGGCCTGACCAAGCTGCTTGTTGGTGCAATGTGGACTCTGAATTAGGAAAGCAGTTGAATGCTTTAAGCAGGGCTTACCGGGACATGCTGTAGGAGCAGAGACAGGGCCCTGAGAGCCATGCATATGATGACTGCCGGGCTCAAGGGGTTTTAGAGAGAAAAAATATTAGAAGGTGGCCTAGAGACCATTCTTGTCATTTTTTTGGTGTGGGAATGGGGTGGGTGGGTGAGTGGAATGTCGCTGCTTTCTACTCTTGCCCTAAAAGTCTGCCTGAGGATAAACTGAATTTTGGATTAATGGCCTTCACAGAGATTACAAGACAACCTAGTATTGATTGTGTTGTGTGGTTATTAATAATCAGTCATATTCAGATCTATATTGGAAAGGAGCAAGCTAGACAAAAAGAAAAAAATGTACAGTTTGAGGAGAAAAGGAGCAAGAGGAAGTCTAAGTCCAGTGCACAAGGACATAAAAGTTTAAAGAGAAGCCTGATGCTAAGTGGAGTAATGGGATGGCGACATCAGAACAAGACCCCACCCAGCTAAGCTTCTGACCTGTGAAAAGGAACGAAAGACAAGCTTAAGCCGTGAAGGAGACTCCTCTCACCACAGAGAGTTGATGCAGATGTAACTGAACAGTGGGGCCAAGTCCCAGCTCCTTAGGCAGAACTTGGCAGATTCTGGCTTCTAAGACGAGGACACAAGAAAGGGGTTGCAGAATCTCTTTCTGCAGCTATGGCCAGGCATGTGTCAAGGGTATCCCTGTATGGAGGCCTACAGAAGCTATTTCACGAAGATGTGAAGATGACCTGGGGTTTTACTGGAGATCCCAAGACTTTGGCGAGTCATGGGATACCTATCAAGGAAAGTTGCAGACTGGGTTTGAACCAGCACCATTGTGCTGCATTCAACAAAGCTGGAAGGAGCTGGACACCAAGAGTGCTTTTGAGAGCAGACATGGTAATGTAGGATTTGGAATTTGCCTGGCTGGTTTTAGGCTTGGGTTCAGTACTTTCTCATTATGCTCCTTTCCTCCCTTTTGGAATGGTAAAATGTATATCCTGTGCAGCTATATGCTGAAAGTATGTGACCTGCATTTTCCTTTGGCTGCTATAAGGGATTAGAGTTAAGATGCTGCCTTGAGTCTCACAGAGATTTTTAACTTCTAAACAGTGTTGAGAATATAGGACTTTTGAAGTTGGACTGAATGTAGTTTTGTACTATGATATGACTACAAGCCTGTGAGGGCCACAGAGTGAGATGTGGTGGTTGAATGGCTCCCATAAATTCATATGTTTAAATGCTTAGTCACCAGGGAGTGACACTGTTAGGAAGGATTAGGTGTGGCCTTAAAATGTAATTGAGTTCCCAATTAAATGCTTTCATTTATAAGAGTAACCTTGTCAAATAAAAACAGGCTGAGCAGTGGTACTACACACTTTTAATCCTAGCACTCCAGAAGGCAAGGGCAGGTAGATCTCTATGATATCAAGGCCAGTCTGGTCTATGTTTTGAGTTTCAGGACAGCCAAGGTTACAGGGAAATCCTGTATCCGAACGCCCCACTCCCAGAAGGAAGAGGAAGAGGAGGAGGAGGAGGAGGAAGAAGAAGTTGCTTTGCCTTGGTCACAGTGTCTTCATAGCAACAGACTGGAGACTAAGACAGATGGTGACCATCCTCTCCCTTATTTAGAATGTCAGTTTATAACCAGAGAGCCCAACTTATAGCAAGCCATCAAATACTACCTTACAGCCTTATTATAGCTTATTTTCCATTGTTTCACATATAGCATTTTAACTATCTTCACTATTTTTCCTGTTTCTTTAAATTTAACAACTACCAGACTGCTTTGAGTCTTCGCCAGAACTGTTAGGTGTTCTAATACAGTGTGATCACAGTACTTCTATTTAGTCCTTCCTGTTCCAATTACAATCCTATTTTATTAAAAACCGTAATATTTCACCAAGATTTTACTGTATCCTTCTATATGTGTTTCAGGATAATATCATACAAAGTACAAAGTGAAGTATGTTACATAATTCTACATCTCTAACGTAGCCCATTACATATCATATTTTAGTACTAAGTAAATAGAAAGAGATACTGGGGAGGGGGAGGGCATTTTGGAAATGATTTTACTGTGTGTGAGTGCAGGCACATGTGTGTCACCACGGGGTGGGGTACTGGAGTAGACAACTTTGTTGAAGAGTTCTTCTCTTCCACCTTTACAGAAGTTTGGGGCTCAACCTTGGGCTGTCAGGCCTGCATAGCAAAGATATTACGAAAGTTACTTCGCTGGGCCCAAAATTAGTTCTTTTAAGGCAGCATTTTGGCTATGACACCCAGTCTGCCCTTCCACTCATTTATGTAGTCCAGGCTGGTCTTGAACTCATGATCCTTCAGAGTACTGGGACTATAGTTATATAATACCATCACTCCCTGCCTTGTTACTAGAAAAATTATTACTTCAAAACTTAACAATATATAAAAATATAAGATTATTCAGGATTAATAACAAAAAGGATCCTATGCAATACATATTGCAGTCATTTCACAGAATGTGACACTTCATGGTAGTCTGGTAAAACAAGTGGCCATATAAATTACGAAAAACATTGGGAAAAGAATTTTTTTTTTTTATAAAGACATATACAGCCAGTGAGAGTTAACAAGTGAAATATTTCTTACTGGCTGTAAGGACTGAGGCTGCCCTGGTGCAACTATTGTAGTCACGGATGCAGTTGGCTGTACCACCACTCCTTGTGGGTGAGCTGTGAAAATCTGCTGTCCCTGGATATACTGAAGACTGGGCTGGGCATAACTCTAGAAGACAAAAAAAAACAAAGTCATAACTTATATTTCTCTGGATCCTATTATGTGAGACATCAGCTGACTTCCAATATGACACAAGCTTTAAAGATACTTCTTGGTCGGGCAGTGCTGGCGGACGCCTTTAATCCCAGCACTTGGAAGACAGAGACAGGTGGATTTCTGAGTTCGAGGCCAGCCTGGTCTACAGAGTGAGTTCCAGGACAGCCAGGGCTACACAGAGAAACCCTGTCTCGAAAACAAAAAAAAAAAAAAAAAAAAGATGAGTCTTTGGTTTTCTGTTTGTTTGTTGTTGGTTTTTGAGTAAGAGCCTCATTATGAAGCTCTGGTTAGCCTTGAACTTCACAGAACTGCCTCTGAGTGCTGGGATTAAAGATGAGTATCACCAAATAAGTCATTTACTTCAATCTCACATCAATGCATCTGGCACAAAAGTAATTACACAAATCCTTCCCTTTTTTAATTCATTGAAACTGTCTAGTTCTCAGGGAAACTAGAATGACAAGTGCTGCTCCAAGGATCTAACTACTCAGACACACTAGACACACCCACTCCACTCCCAACCCCCATACACACACACTTTCTCACACAACCCTCTGTCCATTCTGCTCTTTTTGGGAAGTACCCTCTCTCTCTCTCTTTTTTTTTAATAGCTCAGTCTGGCTTTGAACTCATAAACCTGCCTCAGTCTTAAGTCCTGAAATTATAAGCACATGCCCCACATGCAACTTTAGTGAGGTCTTTTGTTATCAACTAGTAACAACAGGTTGTTTTGACACAGTAGCAACAGCAATGATTCACAGTATAAGACGATAATCAAATATTAAGTTAATATTTGTTTAAATAAGTTAAATAAAATTTCTACAAAGATAGCAGAATATAATGAATCTAAAATTCATAATGTACACTGATTTATACAAAAAATGAATCCAGAAAACTCTTCCAGCTCTAAAAGCATCAGATGCAGGTATTTGTTCACATGTAGTCTCTTGAGAGCTGGGTTGTAGAGGCAAAGGTCTTTAATCCCAGCACTCAGGAGACAGAGCCAAGTGGATCTCTGAACATTAATAAGGAAAGTATCCATAGGAATTCATCCAGCTTCTAAGAAATAATCCTTAAGTTGTTAGTATAAAAGTTTTTAAAGCTGTCTTAAGTATCCAAATGTATAGCTTAAATTCTCCACTGAGGAGCAAAGAATAAAACATAGATAGTCTAACAAAGGAAGTGTTCCCAGCTAACATGTTCCCCTGAGATGGGGCTCAGTTTCCCACTGGCAATGGTCCTCGGGTCATTTCCCATATGTACTGTTATTCTTTGCCTTTTTATAAATGTGAATCCAAACTATCTTGAATAGAATGTGATACTGGGATATAACCTGATATTTAAAATATATAATAGAAGATTGAATTTTTTTTTTTTTTTTTGGTTTTTTGAGACAGGGTTTTCTCTGTATAGCCCTGGCTGTCCTGGAACTCACTCTGTAGACCAGGCTGGCCTCAAACTCAGAAATCCACCTGCCTCTGCCTCCCAAGTGCTGGGATTAAAGGCATGTGCCACCACTGCCTGGTGAGATTGAACTTTCAACAAGAATGCCCCTCATCAGAAAATACTTCCTGATGTCACAAGAACAGGGTAAATGGAGTTAGCCTGAGCTCAGATCCCAAACCAGAGTTAAATAGGAAATATGCCATCAAAAAGACTTTTAAAAAATTTAATACACACCCAGACAATAATCAGAAGTCAATAAAAATAGAAGTTACCAGCAGCAAAAGATTATTGTCTAAAAGAAGTTATAATAAGCCCCAAGTCACTATGTGTTCAGATATACTTCCACATGCTGGTAGTCCTGACTTCAGTTTAATGTTGTGAAGTAAATTGGTTAACTGGATCTTTTGAAGCCCAGTTAAATACCAGATACTGCAGAGAACTGTAGAAAGAGAGGAAGAAAAGGAAAGAAGGAAGGAAAGAAGGGAGGGAGGGAGGGAGGGAGAGAGGGAGGGAAGGAGGAAGAAAGGAAGGAAGGAAGGAAGGAAGGAAGGAAGGAAGGAAGGAAGGAAG